AAAGTTTTAGGTAGAGACTTAGAAGGATAGCTTGTTAAAATACCGAGAAATAGCCTATGGTTAGATGATATCATGGGAGAGGAACAATCATACCAGTAGACAAAGTGGTGGTGGTAGAGGGATCGTGGGTGATGATGGTAAATTTTAGAGGTACCAAGAACCAGGTGTCGTTAATGGCTTCTGCTTTACGAATATCAAAAGTAAACAAATGAAAGTGGTTGGCAAAACCGCTACATTTATGGAGGAGGGAGAATTAAGTGAATGGGTGGTGATAGTGGTGGTGTGTCGGCCATGAAAGAATGAACAGGACTTCGGCACTGTCTTCTGTTATGAGCGAGTCTATAAAACGCCTACGTAACCACACAATAATAAGAACGAATATTTAGTCAGTAATTGTTTGAAATAATGTTAACAAAATAAAACTTTAAGAACGACTGAACACTTTAAACATGGTATGATTTCATTATAGAAAATTATAGGACGTGGTTTCTTCCTAGGACGGGGTGGAGGGTTGGGGGTGGTACTCGCGGTCATCACTCCATTGTTCCGATACTTGAATCTTTTGGCTGAGATTCCAGGAAAACACTTGTGGACGTGTTGGAGAAGGAGGAGTTGGCCATCTGTTGTATCTGGGCAAGGATGAGTAAGACTGAGAGATGGAGAGTTCCTCAAGCTAGAATAGTCTAAGTGTTTAACAAAGTTGAAGTGACATCAATACGACATTATTATCATTATCATCATCATCATTATCATCATTATCCCTCGTAGTATTAAATGCATAAAACTATTAACGCATAGAATACCTTAAGTTCTTGTAATAACATCTTTCATACATGGTTTATAAAGCAACATTTTCGCTTAGGAATATAAGTCATGTTCCATACTGGCAGGTTGCAATAGGATATAATCTATGTCACTTTCTCTCTATGGTCTATAATCGGTCTCTCCCGTGACTAATACAAAATTGAGGACCAGTTCCCGTCTCCTGGTCTGCCCTCATCCCAACCCTTCTCATCCATAAACCCAGATTCCGAGTGTAAACAAGGACATACCTGGCAGCACACCGTCAGTTACGCTGCTGCTTCACATTTCTCACATACCACACGTCTTGTATAACTCTTACATGCCCCAGTAATAAATCACGGGAGTCACCACAGCTAACATGTGTACATGAAGGTGGAATGAGCGCTTCCGGATCATACAATCATACAGGCTAGACCCCGGGGATGATTACGGGGCTGCCTCGACCTACCCACCTGACAAGCGGACTCTCCTCCCTATACTTTACCTACGGCAAAACATACATTAAAGTGCTCAGTGTAGCGCAGTGTCCCTCGTCTGTATGGCCCAACTGTCAGCGTACTAGCTGGACGTATGATGCCACTCTATCACCGTCATTAAATTCAATATACTATCTGGATTGTGAGTAACAGGAAAGAATGTGACACATAGCTGCGCCCAATACTCTAAACCCCGAATCCACATGACGAATAATGTTTCAACAAGTGCTGGCGAGACAGGAAGGATTTAATAACAAGAGAAGCATTTGGCAGATAAAGCCGAGCATTAGCGAGCCAGCAAATGAAGGTCTTAAACATGAGAATTTGCAGGAATACGGAAATTACACGCTAAAGAACGCCGGTGTTTGGTCCCGTCAAAACTAGACAGATATAAAATGGTTGACAATGTTGATAATCCGGTATAACTGGTGGTAATTGTCTTACTGCGTCTTTATTACTCCTCGCCGTCCGTACTTATACATGATACAACTGAGCCCAAATATAGTATGAGGCGATTAAAGACCCATTACCCAATAATGAGGGAAACACATAATTGAAGGCGGTAAAGTATGTAAATCCTGACAGGCTGGTGCGGCTCTCACGCACTGCTCCATTACTCCTCTAGATACAAGCCATTTACCGGAGTTCTCTTCTCTAATGGCCATTTACCACATACGCTCCCAGCAGTTCGCTATTAATGATCATTAGCGTGTTGTTCCACGATAATAACATCCTTATACCAGCGTCCGGTCCGATCTTTATTTCCACGTCGATGTGTTGTTGTGGGGTGAGGGTTGAGTCCGACCTCATTTACGACAAAGAGTATCTATTAGTTTTCAATGTGTTTTTGTTGTACAATTATGAAGTGCACATAAATCACTCGTCATAATAATATACTGTAACTCATCAGTGTGCTCGTGTTCAATGTTCAGTGGCCAGAATGCACGTGTTGACGAGGAAAGAGGGACCTGAGCCGTGTTATCCCGCACATCCGTCATGCTGGGCGACCCTCACGTACAGAAGAAGGTATCACTGTAACATTCAACCCCCCACATGCTTCACTCATCACCATCAGACACGAGTGCTGGGGATCATGTGTTGACTCCTAATTCACAATAGGGCATTTGACTACCTGAGACGGTTCGGTTATAACTTCTACATGAAGATGAATAACCATAAAGACATAAAAACCTCAAGTGTAGGTAACAGGAAGACCAGCCACCTGCGGGTAAAGGTGTGGCGATAAATCAAGCAGGTCTTCAACGTTGCAGAGAAGACGATAAATTGTGCCCCGGTGGTCTACAATCTTGGTGTCCGCATTTGTGGATATTAACAATTTGTAGCCACACGATCCACGGAGTCCCTGCGGATTATGTTATCACGGTGTGTTAAGGATGTTTTTGTCACCATTCAGCTTGTTGCAGTTTATTAATCACGGACGAGGAAGCTAACAATTGGCAGCTGCGTCATGTTTAGGTTGTTGTCTGGCGTGTTACGTGATGGAGGAACATGTACTCAGTGGGTCATTTCCTCCGTAACTACAGTGGTCTCTCCTCACTTGATGCGATATATCGGTACAGGGGGCTGGAGGCATTACTCTGACATTCTCCCGTCACTCAGCGTTTCGTAAACACTTGGGACGTTCACTATAGTCGTCCAGGTGTACAGCAGGTGAAGAGCTCACGAGAATATACGCATCTTACAGTCATAGTCGTGGGATCTAAGAGGCCTCAAGATTTCAAGAGTCCTCAGTAGTATGAGCCATGAAGAAACGCAGTTGCACCCCGTCCCTCAACACCCCCAATACCCTCCCTCAACACCCCCAACCCCGTCCCTCAACACCTCCCAACCCCGTCCTCAACACCCCCAACCCTGTCCCTCAACACCCCCAACCTCCTCCTCAACACCCCCAACCCCGTCCGTCAACACCCCCAACCCTCCTCAACTCCTCCTCAACACCCCCAACCCCGTCAACACCTAACCTCCTCCTCAACACCCCCAACCCCTGTCCCTCAATCCCTAACACCCCTCAATACCTCCTCAGCACCCCCCACCCCGTCCCTAACACCCCAATACCTCCCTCAACACCCCCAACCCTCCCCTGCCCCTGAATCATGAAGGCTGTGAAGCAGGAAAATGCACAAAATCAGCAAAGGTGGACACCGCGTTCTCTTGCCTGCCCGAGACATGCAGACTCTTTGTAAGTTTAGACTTATGGGAGGGACTCACGCAACAACCAGCCGGGGACCTCACAGATGTTCCTCTACTGCCTGAGCTCTACCTCTCTCTACTTATTAGAATTTATCTTTCTTACCCTTTCATTCCTCTACTTCCTCCTACTCCTCTTCCCATGAATCAACTGTGGTAATAATAATTGTAAACCTGTATGTGCTGATAAGTATTTACAAAAGAGAAACGAAACTGCCATCGCTGCAGCTCCTATACTCACCAACGGGCCACTCTGTAGTAAGAAAATCAGGTGTTACTATATTTTACTCAGGGCACATATTTCATGTTCATCATTTAAATAGTTACTTTCCTCTAATATGTTTTGACTGAGACCAAACAGAACACAACACCAGATGTGACATATACAGTATATATATATATATATATATATATATATATATATATATATATATATATATATATATATATATATATATATATATATATATATATATATATATATATATATATATATATATATATGTGTGTGTGTGTGTGTGTGTGTGTCTGTGTAAGTGTGTGTAAGGATTTGATGAAGTGGTAAATTGTAACTAATAGTAGGGTAGTGTGTGTGTGTGTGTGTATAGAGTCGTCAGTTATGAATAAGTCAGAGGAAGGGGGGTTCCCACGACCTACTAAACACAGGTATTTTATACAGGATGTTAAGAGCAACTTGTGAATCATTAAGAGACTCATGAGTCAATAAAATTCTAGGCCAGACTTGTTCACTTTTCTGTGGTGTTGTGGTCCTGAATACAGCCATTGTGGAGGGGGGAGGGGCGATGAATGAGTCACTGTGATTCAGAAGTGTTCGTTTATCCCCAAAAGCTGATTATTGATTATAACCCATAAATGATTCGGTTCTGCGGACGGTATAAATAACTGATAATCGCGTGTCTATCAAAGAGGCGAGCACCCACCTGGCAGCCACACACACCTGTTCACACTCCACTTACATTTTTTTGTCTTTACTTTTTTTTCGTTCTTGTTGCCATCAACAGTGTTTTTTCACGACCTATCAAGATTATCTGAGAATTAATTAAGTAAACTTCAACAAATCCTTTACTATATAATCTCCATGTTGCGACGTCAGTTACCTGCCAAATAAATACACAAAAATAAATAAATAACACAATCTACAGCAGATATTCAGACAACATCCTGCAATGGTTCGAACCCTTTCCTAGTGACCAAAATCTCGAGGATGACTTGAAACGTAGTTATTGCCGAATGTACAGAAGGTCTGCAATGTGATTGGGCCACACATTATGAAATCTGCTTCTTGATTGGTGGCGTGGCGGCGATCTAATTTTAGGGACCCATTTGTCACTAACTTCGCCAGGTGAGTTAATGAATTATGAAGTTAAGGTAAAAAGGAACATAATTGGCACGAAAGATAACTCATGTTGGCATTACGAGGATAACTGTACAAGATTCACTTATATCGATGGCTTGAGTTCCGACATTATATATTCACGATCACTGTCTTACCCCGCGTCCAAAATGGTGACTTGTGTGTGGCGGATTCTTCAACTGGTGTATGTATAGAGTGTTCACTTTGTGGTCCTGGGTTCGATTCCTGACCATAGTGGAAGAATGAGTTCCTTCCTTTTGCACACTCTGTAATAAATGAGTGATGTGATGTGCTTATTCGAGGATGACAAAACCTTTTAGTAGTTTAACATGGTGCCAAGTGTGTGTGTGTTGCCTCTCTAGCTGCGGGAAACCGTCCATCATAGTAAACAGATTCCAACTTTAAACAAAAAAATATCTCCTGTATTGAGAAGCCAACACACAGACTATCCAATCATAGAGTACTGAGACAATTCCTGGAACAAGTCAGTTAATGATGGAGACACAAATCACTATCGATTTTTACGATAGCGTAAGAAAGTAATTACCGTAGTTATCACACAAATCATTAATCACATACAAAATTACTATCATTGTTTTGTGTGATCTAAAATAAGGTTAACAGACAGAGAGGGACCCGTTTTCAAAGTCATTAAACAACAGATTTATAGTGTGGAAAAATAAAACAATATTATAATGTATTTTCGCCCAGCATAGTAAAAACATTTCTTGTGTGTCAGTGTTGTGATGAGTTTACGCATTGTAACTAAATAATTATGGTCGAGGTGTGTGATAATTTGAGTAAGTGGTGTGACTGATAACAATTGTTTGAAGATTGTTGTAATTAAATTATATCTTACAAGGCATTAGGTATGGATAATGATTTTGTGGTAGATGTTAAATTTGATAATGCATACAGTACATACACATATATAGAAAAAAACTTATATATTAATTTCAACATTTATATGCATGAGTAACGCATTATATGTCAAAATAAGGTCACCCGGAGAGGTACCTTGGTATCCCAGTCCCAGCATACACTATAAGGATAGGTATCGTCCATAAAGCAATAGTCAACCCCTATAACAGACAACCGTTTCTTTCCCTAAATTAAGAACGCTTTCACCCTCTCGCCTCAGGTTCGTCCGGTAACTCTTATAGCGGGCAATACCAATTGTTCCAATACTTTCCAAATAATTCAAGGTTTGGTTACATATAACTTCTACCGAAAAAAATACTCTACCTCCTCGACCACAATCCTCACGACCTACATCCTGATGGTGGCAGCTTCTTCCTCTCTCCCCTCCTCGCACAAGGGTCAAAACACAGTGGCCGCCGCTGCTCTATAAAACGCTACTGTAAAGGAGGATTGGGGGATGGAAGGGTGAGAGAAGGGGGGGCGGAAAGGGAGTAGTGAGATGGGTGTCGCAGCTCAGAGTTGGTAAGGAGCCATAAAAAAAGGATTGTCAGGAGAGTGTAATAAAAATTAATGCTCACCAATATCCTGGGTGTTTATGGTACTGAGTGAGTGAGTGTGGTTACCCGAGGCACTAGCGCTAACCTATGCTGTGGCCTCACCACCATGACCACTACCCCCCCCTTCCCCTTTATCCCCACCACCACTCCCCACCATCACCAACCACTCCCCACCATCCACAGAGCCAGCCCTCACACCTACCATACAGGGACATATCTCTTCATCAGTAAAAAAAAAGGTTCTGTTTTAGTGATGAGAATTCCACAATGGTTGGGTCGTCTATAAACAAGAACAACATGGATTATACAGTCACTTATGTTGCTTTTAATTACGGGAAACTTAGATATGAGTTCACTTGAGGGACGACAACTTAATTTATCTCATAAAACTTAGGGCTATTGCAGAAGATTGGAATCAAGTCGGAACGTCGAGATCTCATCAGAAAGTTACCATACAAGTTTTAAGGTCACACAGGATAGTAAACAAAGAGAGTATCACTTCACTGATAACGTCTAGAGATGGTATCACTTCCACAAAACATTCTTAGAGATAGAGGTAAACGCGAAGTGGGTGAGTAAGGCGTGCCTAAAGTCAAAACTTAGGCTCACCTCTTAAGGGTACAAAGGGGGGAGGGGGGTTAGGAGAAGGCTTAAGGTGACCTCAAATGCTAAGGTTTAATAAGTTCAAGAGCGAAACCAAAGCCTTGACTAAACCTACCCTTTCCCTCCAATAAAACTCATGCGGTCTCTCACATGACTGGAATGAAGCAAATGTCGCCCGTTTCGTTACGTTATCCGAGGTTGTCACTGTACACATGACTGACGCCCTCAGCACATGGACCAGCCGCCAGGAAACGACACAGTAGTCGAAATAACGTCATCGACACTTGCAACGAGAATACTACTGAGTAATGATAATCCTTGGTTGCCATAAACAGCATAAGATGATATGACTTTAAAAGTCTATTTTCCCTCGGCGCGAAACAGACAACACACGCCTTACGATTCTTGCCCAATTACACACATTTTCGAGATCTAAATTGCATATTTTGTGGTCGGGATTAAGCACGGTGTGTGACACTGCTATTGCATCCGGGGGCTGAACAAATGGTGTGAACACGGGCGAACAAGTGCTTGTTACAGACCCATTACCTGCAATAATAAAGAATTTAGCATCACATAAACTAAGAGGCAATACCGCAAAGACGCTGTTAAAATTATCTGGCGGGAGCTAGCTCTTTTACCATTACCTGATATATATGATGAGAAGTGAAGCCTTGCAGGGTGGTCAGGTGAAGCCTGGTAGGGTGGTCGCCTGGTTGGTTTATGTAGGTTGTGAATGATGTAATAATTCGTAGTAATTGAAAAAAAGAAAGAAGAGGAGGAATGAGGAAGAGGAAGCTAAAGAATAAGAAAGCAAAATTAGATTTACATAAAGATTCCTCTCTCTCTCTCTCTCTCCTCACTCTGTGTCTATTTTACGGTTTTCATCAGAGAAATGAGAATTAAAATAGTCCGCAGAATAATGAAGAGTGCAGCGTAGTGAACAAGGGGACACAAGAGATATAAAAGCGGAAGAGAGAGTTGCATTGCTGATGAGAGGAAGCTGAGAAAAAAGTGGATAATGCACTCCACATCCCCCACACTCTTCCACCGTGATATAAAGAGTGACTACCTGAGTTGAAGAGAAAGGCAGGTATTAATTAACATGAGTGTTATGTGATGGTGGTCAAATATTGTGGTAGGAGAGTGGTAGTGGGGATTATACTGTATGATGTTGCTTGGGGATGGTGGTAGTGGTGGTTGTCATGTTAATAGTTGTTAGTTGTAGTGATTGTGATAGTACTGGTGATAGTGGTGTTAATAGCTGGTAGTTGTGATGGTTGTGTTAGTGCTGGTGGTAGTTGTAGTGATTGTTGCTAGTGCTGGTAGTTGTGGTTATTGCGCCAGGACTGGTGGTTGTGGTTCGGACGGTGGCGGTAGGGGAGGGAGGGGCGGCGGTAGGGGAGGGGAGGAGTGGAGGAGGGTAGAGGTAAGGGAGAGGAAGAGGGTAGAGGTAAGGGAGAGGAGAGGAGGAGGGTACATGTAAGGGATGGAGTAGGGGCGAGGAGGAGGGGTAAAGGGGAGTGGTAGGAGTGAGAAGGGGAGAGGTAGGGGAGAGCTGTGAGAACTAAAGAGTTGTATACGGACGGAGGCTGTGGTGGGTAAGGACAAAAAAGGGTTGTGGTCGCGTCTAGGCACATAAGCTGTAAACCTCCCCTACTCACACCTACGTGACTACAGCCCAACCTGGATAAACTAAAACCCCAACCTGCAGAGTATGTCGAGTGTTGGACAAAAGCCCCCTAAGAAAAAAGCCTAAGGAGGTTTTGTCCTGGGGGGGGCTTTTGTCCGGATCCCAATATGTCAGGTGTCCGTCTCTCTCTCATACATCTCTTCTCGATACACTCCATCTATCTTTGTATTTGCCTTAATCTTACTAAGTTTCAGTTAACAATATAATGTTTCAAGTTATTATACAACTTGGAAGAAATAAAAATATACATACGTACACATAACCACATACACATATACCCCCCCTACACACACACACAGAAACAAAAAATAAAATCGGTCACTCGGGATAATGATAGGTTGTACCATGACCAAGAAAGTTCTCAGAGCGGCATGACCTCCGTGGTGTGGTCACTGGTCCTGGTGAGGGTGTGGGCGTGTTAACCTGGTGAACACGCCTATGTCGGTGGGGGGGGGAGGGAGGTGGGAGTGGGGAAGGGAATTTACCATCGATGGCCGTTCTTCCTTCCTTCACCAAGATGACTTTAAGTGTCAAAATAGTTGCAGGTGAAATTCAAACTCATAATAGTAATTCCCCAAAATAATGAGTTTGTAAATGAACACGTAAGAGACAACATCAGTAAAGGAAGCCTGGCAAAGATGACGTGTCAGCCACCTCGTATAATGCGCCTGCACAAACAATCCCACGAACAACCAACGACATTAAAACTCACTTAAAATGTGACGTCACGCGTCAAAATAAACACAGCCAGGAAGAGTCCCCCACTACACTAGACCCGCGTTGTCTTGTGTTGCTCTACCTACCCGCCACCCGTGCTTGCTTGACGTGCAGTCCTCTCCTCTCTCTCTCTCTCTCTCTCTCTCTCTCTCCATTCCTTCTTTTGTTATCACTCTTCCCTTCCTTTATCACAGTTTTATCATCGGGTTTATCATTGATGGGACACGCCAGGACAACACTCCCACCTCATACTACATGTCTCACAATTACTGCATTCTTTCTTCTCTTTCTTTTCCTACTTTTTTTTTTGTCTGGTCACTGATACTCGACCATTTCTGAACACCTCGCAGGGGTCAACAGAGGTAAAAGAACAAGGAATAAAGGAACCCACAACAGGAAGCCCCTTGGTAAACCTTTTAGTGGGGCGTCCTTGGTGTTGGGAGTGTCCACTGTGGTATACTGAGGAAGGTGTGAGGAAGGAAAGGTAAGAGGGGGGCGAAGGAGGGGGGTGAAGGAGGAGAGGGGAAGGAGGGGGAAGGAGGGGGAGGAGGAGAGGGGGAGGGAGGGGATGTTGAAAAAAAAGTGTTAGGTGGGAAAGTAAAAACAAAAATTATACATCAAATGGGAATTAAATGTAATGGTGGACAAATTAAGGGAAGACGATGAAAGTAAACAATAAGACAACAGGAACTAGAGAAGAATGATGTGAAAGTGGGAGGAAGATCTGGTGGGGAGTGGTTAGGGGAGAGAAGGGGGGGGGGGTGACAGGGAGAAC